CCCCCCCAGTTCCTCTCATTTCTTATCTCACAAGGGTGAAACAGAGTGGGTGCGAAAAGACAGTGTTGGATTTTTGTTCACCTCACAAATACCAGCTAAGGACAGGTAGGAGAACCTTTCTGTCTTCCTGGAGTGAGATACTGGTTACAGAAAATTAGTCTTAAATCCAGTCCCTGATAGGAGATGGTAAATAAAGATGCTGAGCCAGGTTCTTTACACTTTGATGTTCAGTCTAGTTTACCATCTTCTTTTACCAGTTTTAGGGCAATTGTATATTATTTGCAGGCATGGGACAAGCTTTTAACCCATGATTTGAAAAAAAAAAAAAAAGAAGTACATATACTGATACTCACGGATAGACAAAAAATGGATCTTTTCTATTAGAGATGGTTCTCAAGAGATAAGGAAAAAGACTTGTATAGGTGATGAAGTGTGATAATATGAAAGGCTGCAAGACAGTTGCTTAAGAAACAAGAACAACAAAGGAATAAACTACTGCAGGCATCACCAGAGCTAGAATGACATTGTACTGTGTACTATGTTTCCATGGCAACTAGCCATAGGAAGATGAATGTCTCACATTCACTGTGCTCTGCAGTACATGTCTATAAATCAAACTTGCATAAAAGAGCATAAGATTTCTTCCATGGGGTGGCTCTGAAAACCAGGTTATTTTCTCATTACTAGATAATTACATGAAAGAAATACAAGACAATTAGGTCATTTTTTGTATGGAAAGTACCAACACATACAAAAGTACTAATATACCTCTAGTGTGTGATCCTATCAATCTAAAGGCACAGCAGCATAAAACGCAGATCATGAATGCCTTCTTTTTTTCCTTAAGATCTGATTTATGCGTGCTAGCTTTAAAAACTGTATGAGACTTTTCTGTCCACTTTTGGTTTGTGAGACATTTTTCATCATGTATAGGTTCATTCACATTCACATGTGGTTGGTTTTCAGCTTACCTCAGTTACTTTTTCCATTATCATGGTCTAAGGATTTAGCACACAAATAACCTATTTTTTCTAAACAAATGGCACAGCTATGACAAATATTTTCTCAGCAGCACTAATTAATAATATTCTATAATTTAAATATGACATATTCACAACAAAAAAGGAAAACAGTACTTGAAATATTTTTTTAAGAATTTGAGTCCCACTTTAAAAGACATGTTTACTTACAGCTATTTATCACAAATTATTATTCCAAAGGACTTGTCACATTTCATATCAATGTAGCTATATGCAGAACAGCAGCATTTTTATAAAGAAATACTTGTGTGTGTGCTACCCATTAAAAAGAGCCTCATCATGAAAGAACATGGCATCACACCATTTACCTCAGCAGGTACTTCTGCAACTCCTGTGTCTAGAATGCTGAGTTTTTATGGTACAGTGGCATTTTAATCAGATGCACACCAGGTGCATGATAAGCACTTGAGCATTTTGTTCAATATAACTGCAATATTAGCTCAGAAACAATAAATGTTACGCTACTGTTCAGGCAAGATTACTGTCAGTTAATACAATCAAATATAAACTGAAAATTCACCCGCATTTTGCAAAATTTAGCAACAGCTAAGTGTAGTATATTACCGACATCTGTAAGAAAATAGTCCCTTAGAAGAAAGAATGTTTACATTAAATATTATTTTATCAGTATGAAATGAAAATATATTTATGTTTGGTCCTATTCCCATGAAATTAAGAAAAAAAAGAAAATCCAAACCACTCACTATACCTAGAAACACTGCTGAATGAGGTGTCTTTTTTCTTTCACAAAATAGAGCATTTAACACCACCCCATCCCGAAGCTCTACTACCAATTCAAATTAAGTCACTACACCTCTATACATTCATAAAAGAATATACGTTAAAGTAAACCAGGGATATCAACTGTATGTTTCATAGCCCTGCATTCCAGTAAATACAGTGCAGCCATTGCTAGTAACAGACCACAAACTCTGTACTGAGTTTGCAAGGTCTGAAGACTGAGGCTTGTCAGACTTTGAATTTGGTTGACCTGCCTGGAGCTTTTACTGGCTTTATCTGTAACAGCAGTGCTTTTAAGGACCAGGTGGTTATGCCTAGTTTGTTCTTCTTATCTTTATACAGTATAAATATAGCTTTATATAGACAGTAGTAACAAGAATTTCTTGTATGTAAAATGAAATATTTATGAGTTTAAGATAATGATGTAGAGAAATACAGTCATGGTACGATAGCAGAGGCCTTCAGAGGTAAAAATACAGCACACAGAATAGAGGACAGGCATGGGATGTTAAGACCCAGGCCACAGGCTGACATTGGAGGACCAAGACTATAAACAACTCGCAATTGGTAAGTTAAGGAAATGCAGACACAGGAGCTGGACAAAAGTGGTTTTACGGATGACAGAGAGAGGAATAAAGAAATATCTAAAACATGTCATAAGTGTTATATAAAGTAAATCTGGATGCAGTGTGGGCTTGCAAATCAATGAAGAAAGAGGAAGGTGTAAACTGTGTTGGAAAATATGTAATAATGACCCAAAGGGGATGCTCTAGTGAGAGAGAGGAAAACATCAATATGAATATCATCCTCCTCCTGGTGAAGAAGTCAGGATAACGGCAATTCACTCTACCATGCCTGCCTTTAACCTGTCAACCTCAGGACCAAGAGGGACAGTGGAAGACTGATAATAACAACAGAAAAAGGTAAATTTTCAGAGGTGTACAACATATTTAACTGCATTTAGATGTTTTGTAGCATAGTATTCTTTCTTTTATTTTTCTTTCTTTTTTTTTGGCAATTATTAAATCTGTACTAACAACAATTCTTTGGCTAGACTGCTAAGATTTCTGTATAGTAACAATAAATTTTTGATTGTGATGTCTTCTTTACTAGCATATACCATAACATTTTGCTGAACTTTCCTTCATTTATAAATTCATCATGATTACAATTTAAATTCAAAATTGGGGAGTTTCATTGACAGAAAGATGGGCCAAAAGTTTTCAGAACTATTTTACATTATGAAGCTAAGTCTGAATTTATTTGACAATTTTTCAAATGAGAAAGATAATGAAAAAATATATGTAAAAACGCAAAATAAACCAGTATGAACAGCAACTACATATGCTTTTCTCACCTAAAAAGCATTAATATTCAAGACAAACATTTTAATCACTGGACAGAAAAACTGGACATTACGTCCTTCATAGAAATCATTAAAATAAAATATTTTAAAAGTATAACACCTCAAGCTACTCTACCTACATTTTCCTATTCATTTCTTCACAATATATCAAAAAGTGATAGCAAAATCACTTGGACATCAAGGAAAATATACCACATAACTTTTCAAACCTTCTTAAAATAATTACTCTCCTCAAAATATATTACAACTTTATTGCAAAAACACAAGAGCATCATCCAAGACCTTAGACACTCTACACTTTGATTTTGTTATTGCATGGCAGTAGCTTGAAAGATGTACAGACCAATTCCTGTTCTGCAATAATGCTTTGTTCCATGACTGCAGATAACTGCAAAAAACAGTAACAACCCAAAATCCAACCCCACCTTTTAAAGACAGTGATCAGAAAGCTATCTGATGCCATGTCTTCAAAAGTGAAGGACTTCTCTTAATGACTGTGTTACTTCCAAACAAATCATTCACATCACAAAAAGAAAGTTTTACACTTTGCAATGAAATGTTTTCCGCAACAATTTTTAAATAATGTTTACTAGCAATTGCAGACGTAAGATCATTTTTTTATGATCTGAAAATTACTCTCAAAATTTTATCCTTCCACTTCTGAGCCAATCTGACTTCGCAAAAAATCTCATCACTACTTCCTTGCAATATGCACTACAGTTTAACTGAATTTTTCAAGAGACAGCACTTGAATGCAGATTTCCTAATTACAGGAGGAAAATGTAAAAGTAAATAATTTTAGGCTTCTTAAGAGACAGTACAGGCAACAAATTACTTTCTGTATCTGGTAATATTTATTATTTTAATTATAGTTATTATTTTATTATTTCTATTTATACATTTTATATTAATTATTATATTATTTACACATTATTTGTACTTATAATATTTATTAACGGCACTGAAACAGCAATGTGCTGAAGCTTATCTCTTCAGTTGCATGATAGAATCTAATAATTTCAATTAACTGAAATATATACAGCAAAAACCTGTTATCCAGGAATAAGAATCTCTTTGTTAATCTTACCTGAAGGCTTCAACTATGATTCTTTCAGATAATGTAGGAGAAACAGAATTGAAGGCTTTCTTGAAGTCTTCAAAAGTCAAAAATCCTCTATCTTTTAAATCAAAATTAGGCAAGAGAAACATAATGTAAATTAAGGGGTTTTTTAAACTACTTATTACAATTATGTTTGCATGTGAGCTAATCGATTTAAATTTCTGAAATGACTATAAACCCTTTAAGTTACTGTATTAGCAAAATATTTTAGGGTGGCTGCATTATATAGATGAACAGTCTAAGAAACTTTTTATACTGACAATTCCTTTTTGCCACTGTGAATCCTGTTCAAAAGTACTGTGCCTACAACATCTTTTTGAATTGTAAATTTCAGCTTTGTAAAACTTTGAAAACAGACTCTAAAATATGCAAAATTACACTTCAAATCTATAATTTTCATTGACATCTTAGTTACTCTGAACATTGTGTTTCAAAAACTTTGTTTCATAAAAAATTTCTCCTTCACTTTAATGCTGCTGCAGACTTTGTATCTATATCTTGAATCCTGAATACTTTCTATCAACTGATGAATCACTTAGGTTATGAATTCACTTCCAGATCTAAATGGAAAATAAAGCATCTCAAAGAGGGCTATCACAGATTGTGTGCAGCAGATCGCAAGAGAAACAAAAGCATAGTGCTTGAAACAGTTAAGTCCTTTGAAATAACTCACTAAAAATAACACTTCTAAAGCTACTTTTAGTTCATGGCAAAAAGCTGAGTGGATGCTTATCTGATCATCCCAACATCTGATCTGCCATATGTTTCACTTTCCCCTCTTTTCAAGGACCATAGTACTATTTCAGGTCAGGAAGAAAAAGGCAAAGGATTGTCTGAATGTTCATCAGCTCAGAGGCTCCTGATGAAGATTTCCTTTTTTCAGTTTGATGATGGGAGATCCTCTGCTGTCTAGCAGCAACAAAAAAGAATCACCACATTTGCTTCCCAACAAGAACGAGAAAAAAATCCTTGTTGCTTTCATTTCCCTTCCTTGGTCTATCATGAGAAGTAAAAAAGATCTCTAGCCATCACCAGGGACAGAAATCTGTTAAGTATGTGGCATAAATGAGTGGAGATATATGAGTATGAGTAACAGAAATAATGAGAGGTAGCAACAGCAAGTAGGTAGGGTGAATGGCTAGAGATTTCTTTTAACAGCTGGAGGAGCTCATAGTACAACAGACAAACCAGAGCTACCATCTAGAATGCTGCAACCTACTGACCGTGGCTTAATTTATAGTAATATAATCATGATCTTTGTTAGTCTAGTACTGTTTTATTTAACTTTGCAGCATCCAGAACTTCTCATCTTAATTTCTTTTTATTTCCTTCAGGTGTTCTCTTTTGCTTAATTGTTTTAGGATTAAATTAACACTCCAAATATTTAGGAGAAAAAAATTACCTTGCACATCAAAAGCTGTAAATATTTGCCTTGTTTCATTATATAACTCCGCAGCCTTATTTGCACTCATGAGATTTAAAAACTTTTCCAAAAATAGACCTAGAAAAATGTAAAATATAAATAAATCTCCCTGCAAAAAGTCAGTTTTCTTTTTCTCCTTAAAAATATGTACAACTGTGGTCTAAAAATTGTTCATAATTTTTAATTATATAAATAAACACAAAAATAAAAATGAAATAATAGTCTTCAAAGTTAGATCATGATCATGCAAACGTTTCAATAGAATTTATATTTTCTCACATATTTTCTAGACTTGAGTATAAGGCTTCTTTTTACTTCTACATTTTTCTTCTTTTTACTTGCCATCTCATGTTTCTTTGCACTGGAGAGAAACATGGACTTCTCTATGTCAATAGCACTTGCACGCCATGGATAAAGATCCATGCTGCATAAACAATCTATCTGGCATCATTCCCAGCAATGAGAGAACTCTGAAATAATCTATAACCTCAGATATAGATTCCTATGAAATTTGTAATAAAACTTAACGTGAAACTGGATTGGTTTTTCCTCCTGTATACTATACAAAAGTCTTCACTTTTACATTTATCTTATCCTTTTAATGAACTGAAAAATGAAAGAAATTGAAATGCAAACCTTGTTTGTAAGTACTTAATTGACTATTTCTTCCAAAACCAAAGTAAAACATAGAAATTAGGAAACAAAAATCTGCCCCTGAAAACTTCCGGCCTCCCCATGAAACATGCAAAAATTTTCATCCAAAAAATCTGCAGATACATGGGTTTTTTTGAAAAAAATTCCTACTTCAGCTCAAGATTTAAACAGACAAATATTGGTTTCTCATAACTTTCTAATATATCCTTTATGCCCATTTTAAACAACATAATTGTCTTTAGAAGGCAACATGACTGTATTCTGCAGGATTTTTTCTTTATCAAATAACATAACAGAAGCTCTGCACTTCTCTTTCTTTTGATTCATTCATATCCTATTCTTTCTGCAGTGGTTCAAAAGCACAACTCCTTCAGCTCCACCTGCTGTCTCAATAAAAATCTTAAACTCCAAGCTTACGGATTTCCGGTGTTTGTTTCCTTATTTATTCTTGAAAAAATCATATATTAAGAACTGTTACAGTCTCAGTTTCCAGATTACAAAGACTTGCTGCTTTCAACTGCTAGGTACTGTACATGCACAATTTCTTTAATAACAGAGGTTGCTTAAACATACTGAACTTGCCTGCATGAACAGATTTCCATTCAATTGGATAACTATGGAAGTGAAACCATAAAAAGCAATATAAGCTTTCCATCCATTTATTTTTTTCTCTTTCAGAGTAACATGCGAGGCCAGAAAATTGTAGTATACAATTCTCCTTTTATAGAATGACTCCTATAATAGAGTGCCGCCTATTCATTGATCTTGAGACTTGGCAATTTATGTGCTACTAGAACAAGGCTGTAAAGCTATCTCAACACACAAAAAGGTCATCTTAAAAAAATATTCAAGCCAATTAGGTATTAAAAAATCCATAACCTATCTTTATATATTAGTTCACTATTTTTTTGGTTCAGGCATTCATATGTGGTTGCTCTCTTAAAAAAAAAAAAAAATCTGAGTAAAATTTTTATTCTGTATTTGTTGCCTAAACAAAAGATTTACAAGTAAGGGTGTGGTTTAATCAACACAGCTTTTGGCATCAATGCTAGAATAAACAGAACCAGCCTCCGCAATGCCTTTCAAATGTATTGACACAAATACTTGTTGGGCAATGTGGTGAAAGAGATGAGGGAACTTATTGATAAAAGCAACCACATTTTTTTCCCATTTCATTTTTTATATGAATCATTTCTCCAATAAGACTTGCCACATGACCCCACAAACAGATGTATGGGCATAACTGATAAAGTCAAGGACAAGAAAAAAACAAGCAGAACTATATAAATGGGAGGGTGTTACAGAAAGGTATTTACTGAACTGTGATGCAAGACTCCTGTATTTGCCCAAGTAAACAGTAGAACAGTATCAAAAAACTGATAGAACCTTTTTTATCACTTAATAACTTTAACAATAAAAATTACTAATTATTTTCTCTATCACTAATCTATATAATGCTGCCATTAAGAAATGCCACTTTGAGAAGCAAGAATAAGTTCCATCTAAATGTAACATACAAGGACTACAAATATTACAAAACTAAATGAAACCATATGATCCTCTTTAATAGCCATGGTCAGCTTATTTATAGAATCATAGAACAGAATCATAGAATCGTTCAGGTTGGAAAAGACCCTTAAGATTATCAAGTCCAACCGTTAACTAACACTGCCAAGTCCACCTCTAACCCTTGTCCCTAAGCACTACATCTACACGTCATTTAAACACCTCCAGGGATTGTGCCTCAACCACTTCCCCGAGCAGCCTGTTCCAATGCCCGATAACCCTTTTGGTGAAGAAATTTGTCCTAATATCCAACCTAAACCTCCCCTGGCTCAACTTGAGGCTGTTTCCTCTCGTCCTATTACTTGCTACTTGGGAAAAGAGACCTACGCCCACGTCGTTATAACCTCCTTTCAGGTAGTTGTAGAGAGCAATAAGGTCTCCCCTGAGCCTCCTTTTTTCCAGGCTAAACAACCCCATTTCCCTCAGGCACTCCTCACAGAATTTGTTCTCTAGACCCTTCACCAGATTCGTTGCTCTTTGGACGCACTCCAGCACCTCAATGTCCCTCCTGTAGTGAGGGGCCCAAAGCTAAACATAGTATTTGAGGTGCAGCCTCAGCAGTTGTCCTGGTTTCTGATGGGAAAGAG